CATTAAACGGAGGCCGGGAAGGGCCTCATCGGAGGCAAAAACCGAGAAGGGGCGCGGCGGCGCCGCTAGGTTTCGGCCGTGTTTTCCGGCCGTTTGGCCGGGATTTTAGCTCTGATTTGACCACAGGAGAAATCAACGTGGAAAAATGAGTCGGGGGTATGAAATTTACCTCGATCGGCGGTCGGAAATCTCCCTGGTGCGGCGGCGGGTGGCGGCGGCCAGCGTCTCCAGCGTCTGGTTCGTCTTCTCCGGCGAGGGCAGGCGGCTAGGGTTTTTGTGGTATGGTGTGGGGTTTCTATTTATACCCTTTTGCCTTTTGATCTCAGTCGTCCATTTTGTTTTAATCTGTGCCGTCCGTATGCACGCTTGATCTGGGCCGTTCGATCGCGCGTACGCGGATCGCCAACGTGGCCCGTTCCCGGTCGACGTGGTTTTGCCACGTGGCAGGTCCTGGTTGACTGGGACTGCTGACTGGGTCTGCTGATGTGGCCCATTTTTTTTTTTTTTTTCCTTCAATTTCCCCGGGCGCTACATATAAAAACAAAAAATATTTGTAATGCAAATATATTGTTTGTAATAATGTACACACTTTAGTTAATTAATTTATTTACTTGGATAAATAAAACCTTATAACGGTGATGAAACTAGAAAATGATGAGATTAGAAAATTCTAGAAGAAACAATCCTCAAACAACTATTAGAAGAGCAAACTCTGAAAAAACTTGAATTAGTCCCTCAACTCCTAAAACAAGTTCAAAATTGATGAGATTAAAATATTCCACAAGCCTCATGTAAGATTAAACCGAATAACATCATTTATGTGACGCCTTAAACCCCAATAATGAAGAAGAAACGCACTCATACTAGTCTCAATTAGTGGGATCCACAAAGTATCCATATGTACATTAAAAAATTTATAATAAAAATTAATTATCCTATATGATATATACAATATTTATATATAAAGAACATGAAGTTCAAATGTAAAGTTTAAAAAAATAATATGATAACAAAAATAAAATAAAATAAACCAAACGAATTGACCATTTGATACTCAAGAATTTGATGACACAAATTTTCTTAACTTGTCTCCAGTAGTTGCCAACGGAGAAGAGGATATCATAAGTCATAGACATTCTTCGAGCAATGTTAGGCTGATGCAACAAAAGTTGGAGTGAAGCTAAAGGGAAGGAGCTTGAGGAGAGTCGTACTTGTCCGATAGAGCTTTAATGGAGCAGTGAGAGAGTGTTCCCATGTGGTGAAGGTTCCCGACAATAAGAAATTTTGGTGGGGATAGAGGTAAGTTGATTTTTATATATTTAATACTCTTGAGTTTAAACAGATATAATATTGCAATAGACAAAAAGATCAAAGAAAGGCAAAAGGCTTCATCCAGCATCAATGGTGTTTATGTTATAAAAAGTTCAAAATTGAGATGACAAAGATCAGTATGGTTAGATAATATGCGTGTGTGTATGTGTTATATATTATATCTACAAAAAAAAAAATTTATTTTTCAACATTAAATTTGTGTATTTAATAATTTCAATTTGAACTTTAAATTAGATTAGTGTCTTATATTTTTATTACCTAATTTAAAACTTTTTCTTGTCCTTATTAGTTTGTTAATTAAGATATATTGTCATTAATTTTGTGGCGAAGTTATAAACTTATTTCTTATGATTTATTTTATGTTGTTATTATTTAATTAATTAATATATACTAATGATTAAAAATATCACTATTTTTTTAATAAAAAACATTTTTGTGCTTCTAAATATACGAGAGTAATAATATATTTATGGTCAATGAATTTTGAACGAAGGCTGAAAATAAAACTTTGATTAACACAAAATCTCATTTGCTGATTTACAATATCAATAGAATAATATTTTACCTAATATAATTTAGTTTCCTTTTAGTTCTAGTGTATTTAAGAAATAATTTCTTTTTTTTTTTAATTCTAAGTTTTTTATTTAATTTTTCAATGTTTAATATATATGATACGTGTGTGACAAATTAATGTTAAATAAATAGAAATATTAAATACATCTTCTCAGT